AAAAAAAAGAATTATTTAGTCCAATCTCCTCATTTCACGCACAAGAATACTGAAACACATGATTAAGTAACTTTCCCACAGTCTCAGGGCTAGTGGGAGAAACTAGATTTTCTTTTCATTACCACTTTCTATTCTACGAAGCACTAAATATGATCACCACTCAGCTTTCGTCACACGTTTTGGCATTATTCAGATGTTCACTTATGCAACACAGAAGGCTTAAAAAACAAGCACAACTATAAACAGGTCACCTTAACATGACTTAGGAAAAAAACACACCCAAGATCACAACATGTCCCACTGCATTCAAAATGTCTCATAGTGCAACACCAAGAATCAGTTTCCAGCATTTAACCATTATACCAAAACAAAATTTTACCCGATAGCATTTCTTGTTGGTTATTTAGATATAAATGGTTATAGGTTCATGGGTATTAAGCCATCAGCAATCCAGCCCTAAACACCAAACATTAGCTCCACTGTTATTTTTAGCCCTTTCTAAGTAAAAACTTTTACCTAATAAGCCAAAATAACAAAACCCGGAGTGCTAATTTACCAAACTTGATAACAATAAATACTTCAGAAAACAATGTTTAAGTATGCCTTGGTAGATTCTAGGTTCATAAATCCAAACCAGATATGCCTTCGCACCGTGGCATATGTATATACTGCATATCTAAAAAAAGCTGTTTGCGTCCCCAAAAATGGTAGGTATTCTCCCAGCAAGTCTAATCCAAGTGATTAAAATGGGGAATCACTGTAACAAAGTGACTATTTTTACTGTGCCTGAGTAACACAAAAACCTAGGAGTCTCACTTCAAAAAGCATTTGGATTGTAACTATTTAGGAAGTATTCTTTTTTTGACTAAACGCGGTTCTCCCTGTTGCATTCCTGCTTCTGCCGCCCCTCACCTCCATTCTCCTAAGGATCGTTAACACCAAAAACTTCTTTATACTCTAGTCAGGAGGAGAGCTGTTAACCTTGACATTTTATGATCACTCTCTGAAGAGGGCAAATTACATGTTTCAGTTTTGCTTCTTTTTAATTTTAGTTCCCACCCACCCCTCAAGTGGAAATGAGAAATTTGTCAGAGGCTCCTTAATAATTGGCAGACGAGAATCATCCAGTGAAGAAATATGGACAAAACTATTACAAAATCCTGAGTCATCACTCAGTTCAATCAGTAGATTTGGGTAAACACTGAATGAGTGACTTACGTCTTGTGTGTTCACCCATCCATACCCACATGCGTGAACATACCATGTTACTAGATTTTATGTACAGTTAACCAAACAAGATACAGCAAAATTATTTCTTAAAAAGCTCTTCGGACACAGTAAAGATGCCCACCCAGCAGGTAAATGGAACCTTTCCTCCCCCACTGTATTTTTATTCTTTGTTTTTTGTTTTTTTTCTAATTTCAGTGACACTATAGTTTGAAGCTAGTTTACAAACAGAACTCCTGAAACTGATTCAGGTAATCTATGTTAATCTGAGTAACTCAAAATATTAACACAAGCCTGATACGAGTATCGCCGTGGACATCCTGACAGTGCTCTTCCCTACTTTCCTCAGTATCTTAAAGGCCTCTCCAAAAGAAATGTCACAACAGGAACAACACACAATCCTTAGGATCTTAAACAACATTGTCCACATTAACGTCTAAGACGTTAAGCTCAAGAATGAAGTCTGACTTTAAACCAACCTTCTCGATCAACTCCGCCAGGTCTCAGCGGGCCCCAAAAAAGCAGAACCCTTAAGTTTCCCAATGGTCTCCTTTCCATTCAGAAAGTTACTAGACGCCAACGGAGATGTGAAGAGGCGGGGATCGCAGGGGAAGGAAGAACCGGAGGAAGCAGGGAGAGAAGTCACAGAACTCCCCCAAAGGCAAATCCTCTCTGCCCCGCCTCTCCTATGCGCAAAGATCAACGGAGGACCCTTGGGAAAGGCTTACCTCTCTCCCTCGGGGCCAGGGCCCTTGGGCTCCCCAGGTCCCCCCAGGTGGGAAGACAACAACCCGAACACTTCGGGAGAAGCAGATGGAGAAGACGTGCAGGGCTGGTGAGGACCCGGGAATCCCGGTAAGAAAGTGTCAGGGAGGACGGCTTGAGTGCTTCACAGGCTCTGTCACGACCCTGGGACCACCGCTCGGGGACAGCTCCAGCGAGGACAGAGCTAAGGGT